TTTTAACCATGTGAAAAAAGACTTTCAAGACTATTAATGCTGTGCTGCTGGTCAGACTTGATTTCCTAATACTGACAACTAGAAGAAATACAGTTTCTCCCATCCAAGTACTAACCAGGCCCGACCCTGCTTAGTTTCCGAGATCAGACGGGATCGGGCGTGTGCAGGGTGGTATGGCCGTAGACAAGAAATACGGTTTCTTATCTGTGCCTTTGTTTTTCTTTTAAATTTGATTTCTACCTTTATTAAATTATACTTGCCTCCCCCAGCCCCCCGTTTTTTTTTTTTGTTTTTTTTTTTTTGCTTTAGCAACGTGGTCTTGCTGTGTTGCCCAGGTTGGCCTTGAACTCCTGTGTTCAAGAGATCCTCCAGCCTCAGCCCTCAGTAGCTGGGACTACAGGCACACAGCCAGCTCTACCTTTTTAAAAACAGCTTTTTAAAAGCAACATTGTTGTCACAAAAAGCAACACTGATATTTCAAATCTTTATTAGAAATAGATGGATTATAAATCATGGATTAAATCAGATAATTTTTGTGGAAAACCCTCTTTTGGTTATTAGTGCACAGCCATGTAGTTATCTATGTCAGTCACCTTCTGTTTGTATTTGTTTAAATTCTTACAGAAAATTAGAGTTTTGAATTTAAAGGTGCATCTATATTTATCAGTCATTAATAATAATGGATTCTACTTATTTTTTATTTTTTTTATTTTTTTGGAGACAGAGTCTCACTCTGTTGCCTGGGCTAGAGCGCTGTGGCATCAGCCTAGCTCACAGTGACCTCAAACAATCCTCCTGCCTCAGCCTCCCGAGTAGCTGGGACTACAGGCATGCGCCACCATGCCTGGCTAATTTTTTCTATATATATTTTTAGTTGTCCAGCTAATTTCTTTCTATTTTTAGTAGAGACGGGGTCTCGCTCTTGCTCAGGCTGGTCTTGATCTTCTGAGCTCAAACGATCCACCCTCCTCGGCCTCCCAGAGTGCTAGGATTACAGGCGTGAGCCACCACGCCCAGCCAGATTCGACTTATTTTTGAAACAGCTTTACTGAGATATAATTCACATACCATGAAGTTCACCCATTTAAAGTACAAAATCCAATGGTTTTCAGTAAATTCACAGTTGTGCAACCATTACCACAGTCTAATTTTAGAACATTTCCGTCAGCCTAAAAAGAAATGCCCATTCCAGTCATTCCCAATTTCCCCCTTTCCCAGTCCCTAGGCAGCCACTAATCTACTTTCTGATTCTGTAGATTTGCCTATTGTGGACATTTCGTATAAATGGAATTGTACAATTTGTGGTCTTTTGTGACTGGCTTCTTTCACTTAGCAAAATGTTTTCAAAGTTCATTCACGTTGTAGCGTTATCAGTACTTCATTCCTTTCTATGGCTGAATAATATTCTGTTGTATGCATACACCACATACCACATTTTAATCATCCATTCATCAGTTGATGAACATTTGTGTTGTTTCCATTTTTATACTATTGCAAATAATGCTGGTATAAACATTCATGTACAAATTTTTGTGTGAACATATGCCTTCATTTCTCTTGGGTATATTCCTAGGAGTGGAATTGCTGAGTCCATATTGGTAACTCTACGCTTAACATTTTGAGTAACCGTCAAACTGTTTCCTCAATTAGCTGCACCATTTTACATACCCACTATCGTGAATTTTTTCACGTCCTTGCCAACACTTGTTATTGCTGGCAAGTATAGCCATCCTAGTGAGTGTAAAGTGATATATAATTGTGGTTTACATTTTCCTAATGATTAATGATATTCAGCATCTTTTCATGTGCTTATCGTCCATTTGTATTTCTTTAGAGAAATGTCTGTCATGATCCTTTGCCCATTTTTAAATTGGGTTATTTACATTTCTTATTGAGTTGTAAAAGTTCTCCACGTATTTTTTTAAAGTCATGTTTTTTGAAGTATAAGTTACATTAAAAATTATCTTTTTAGGTGTATAATTCCATGCATTTTGGTTAATTGTATACACCTGTGTAACCACCACTACAATCAAAATATAGAAAATCTTTGTCTTCCCCCAAAATTACTTTATGACCTTTTGTAGTCATTCTTCTCTTCCTATCTGCCACCCCTGGCAGCCATTGATGTGGTTACCATCCCTATAATTTTGCCTTTCCCAGAATGTCAAGCAAATGGAATTATATGGTATGTAGTCTTTTTGTGTCTGGCTTCTTTCACTTAGCACAATGCTGTTAAAATTCATTCATGTCGTTGCACGTGTCAGTAATTTGTTCCTGATACTACTGTTCCCGAACAGTTACCATGTGCTAGGCACTATCCTGAATGTGCTTTATATTTATATTATTAAGCCTTATAACACCCTATAAAAGAAGTAATGTTATCCCATTTAACAGATGAAGAAACTGAGACAAAGAGAGGTTTATTAGCTTGCTCAAGGACATAGATGACAGAACTAGAATGTGCACTTGGGTTTGTCTGACTCCAGAACTCCTGTTTTTTATTATTTTAATATACTGACTGAATACTTCAAGTTTCATTTGTATGTATTGGGCTTTTTTGGGTGTAGGGGGTTGTGATACCTTTAGTATATTCATTTATTAATCTTAGTTTATAATAATGCTTATTAAAACTAAAAATCAACAATTCATGATTCAACAATAAGAATTGTGGTCATTCTCTTTTTTTTGCTCCCTGTCAGGGAAGTGAACTCTGATTCTCTCTTACTCAATATTTATGTTTTGTTCTTTAGGTGTGTTAGCCCTAAATCCAAACTAATAGTACTATGGATTGTATGTGATTAAGAAATTATAACAACAACATGCTTGCGAGAAAATATTTACAGTAAACAGAGTATGAAAGTAAATTTGCCCTCCCCTATTCTCCAGAATTAACCATTGTTGTATATCTTGAGTATACTTCCACAAAGCACACATACTTAGAAGACTACAGATTTTTTTTTCTTCCCTTCTTTACACTAATGGAGTCATACTACATATACAACCTTTTGCAACTTGCTTTTTCCAGTTAATAGTCTATCTTGGACAGTTAGTAATATAAAACTACCTCATTCTTTTTAGCATTGCATGGTATTTCAAAGTAGAGATGTACCATTATTTATTTAACCAGATGCCTGTTGGTGGATATTTAGGTTGCTTCTTTTTGCTATTATAATAAGCATTCTTATAGCAGACATCATTATATATCTTAGTGAAATTATTGGGTCAAAGGGTGTAAGCATTAAATATTTTCATAGATGTAGCCTGATTAACTGTCAAAAATTTTTATCTATTTACTTTTCTACCAAGAGTAGATGAGCATTCAGCCATATATCTTAGACCTAGTTGGCATGGTTACTTTGTAATTAAGATATAATTTCAGTTGTGTAGAATTTGGATTCAATTCATTTTCTGGTAAATTTCACAAGGTATATCTGGAACTGAGGTTTACTGGGTTTAAGAGATTTGGGATGTAGCCCTGACATGGGTAGATGGGCCATTTGATGGTAGGCAACACTCGTAGCTGATCAGTGCCTTTGTTTCTATTTTTAAAAATTTTACAGATAGATAGAAGAAATAAGTTCTAACATTTGATAGGAGAGTAAGGTGACTATAGTTAACAACAATGTATTGTATATTTCAAAATAGCTAGAAGAGAGGACTTAAAATGTTCCCAATACACAGAAATGATAAATGCTTGAGGTAATAGATATCCTAAATACCCTGACTTTGTTTCCATTTTGTACTATGCTTCTTATGGGGATGATGGGAGGATAAATGAGGTTATTTAGGTAAAGTGTTTTGTAACCCTTTTACCAAAGAATTTATGCATTAACTTTCTTTAAAAGAAGAATGTTACAGAAGCTGATTGTTATTTATATTCTTAGGTATATAGAAATGAAAGAAGTAGCTTTTCTTCCTTTGACTTCTTGGCAGAAGATGCCTCTACTTTAATAGTAGCACACTGGGATGGAAATATGTCACTGGTAGATAGACGGACACCTGGAACTTCTTATGAGAAACTTATCAATTCTTCTTTGACAAAAATAAGAACTATTCATGTCCACCCAGTGCATAGACAGTATTTTATCACTGCGGGATTGAGGTATGTTCTTTATAAAATTTTATGATTTATGTCTTAATGTCATGAATACTTGGTTTAGTTTGGTTGTCAAAGATATTTGACCTTTGTGATACCCAAAGGCTAAATAATTTTCCTTTCTATATTGGTTGAGGTTTTTTTGAGTGATTTTTTTTTTTTTGAAAGTGAGAAATTCTTTTGGATTTAATAAGTAGTGAAAATAAAGAAATACACATTTTTGTTTTCCTTGGCATTATATGCATTTACTTCTAGTCTTATGACAAGAAAATTTAAAATTTTAAGGAAAAAAGTTATATATGACTTGTTGGTCTGTGTTAACTTTTTTCTTGGAAGGATTGGAAAACCATCTAGAAACTTGTCTCTATACACACAAATTACATATATCTTCTGTAGTTCTGGGATTTTTCTAATAGTTTACTTTTTATCTATACCAGTGTTTGTTAAATTAATACAGAGGATTAGAGGATTCTGTCTTAAATGTTCTTCAGTGTAGCAAGTATTTAAGTGTATAACTTATGTTCAGCCCTATTCTAGAGGCTCATTACATGTACTGGGGCAACATTGATAATTATTCCTCCCATTTCAGGGATGTTCATATTTATGATGCAAGGCGCCTGAATGCCAGGGGAAGCCAGCCTTTGATTTCTTTGACCGAACATACAAAGAGCATTGCTTCAGCCTATTTTTCACCTCTCACTGGTAACAGAGTCGTGACCACATGTGCTGATTGTAAGCTGAGGTAAATTGGGAAGGCAGAAATAAATTTTTAAGGAATCTAAATAGTCTGTAGCTACTTTGTCAGTGACCCAAACGCTTTGTTTATTGCTGTTCCCTATTTGATCACTAGTGTTACTGTTTTGTGACTGAATCTAGGTTCCCAAAGACCAATGACCTGTACTTAATGGCTTTTGAGCAGTTTTTGGGTCCTGGGAATTTCCTTGAGACTGGCAAAGAAGGTCTATAGCTACCCTGGGGAGTTGATGGTCAGGTTTCCTTTTCAGCACTGAAGAATCCCAGAAACCAGGCTGTGTGGTATCTTGGAAAGGAGATAATTTTAGCATACTTTGGGGACAGTGGGGTCTACCCTACAAGTGACATGCTGAATGGAAATTGCAGAGCCCCAAACTATGAGCAGGCAGAAAACAGCAAAAATTGGGCTTTGGGCTTCTACGCAAACTATGGATATAGTTTTATAGTCCTAGGGTTTTAGCTTTGGTATCTTTCTATAGCTACTTCCTAAAAATGGATTTAAAAATGTAATATAAACCATTCGAACAAAACTCAGAAAATAATGTTGGTAGAGAAAGATGTGAAGAATGTTAGTGTAACCACAAAGGAAAATGATTTTGTTCTCTTTTAGAATCCCCGATTTTACTTAAAATTGCAAGCACTTCTCAGTTTATGAGACTTTTACCTTAAATGATTGTTGGAATTTATTCATTATTCATTCAGCAAGTATCTATTGAGTATATACTGTGGGCCATGCTCCAGAATGGCACCTAATTTCAGCTTGGACCCACCTATTGGGAAAAGAATGGCCTGCAGTACGTGACAGGTGCCCAATTAGTTTATACACAGTCTGTGAGAATTGCCAGGTGATGTAGTAAGAGAATGAGTCACCGGAAATGGAATCCCAGTGTCCCCTTTCCAGCCATGTAGTTTCCTTTGTCCTGAGTGCTACCTATTTGTCTCTTTCCTGTTCATTTACGCTACAGAGTTTTACTCTTGTTACATTAACCATTAGTGTTTGGCTTTGTAGTAATCTAATTAGGCAATGAGCTATAATGTCAAGAAACCACACTGGAACTGGTAGGCCCAAGGAGAAGGGGAGGTGGTGGTGATGTGGTTAGTTTCTTTCTGCTGGTGTACTCAGCAGAGGCTTCTGGACTCCTCTCCAGCTGCCCCACAAGAACCCCTCTCCTTGGTTGCTGGTTGGTCTTCGTCTGGTCAGCACCTGGAAATAACACCATCAGGCTCTCAACTGATGAGTCTCATAGGGAAATTCCTCTTGATACGTGCATGTACTTGGAGATTATTTGTGCATTTTCAGACTACCCTTATGTATGTCCCATATTATTGTGAATCTGAATGTACTTTGAGAGTCCAGATTATCACTTTAGAATGTACATTTCAAGTCTGGAGCAATAGTGTTTAAATAAATGATTTCTACACTAAACTATAAGCACTGAATTTTATAATATTCCTTGTAACTTTTAATGTATTAATTAGCTGTGATTTGTTAGAGGCTGATCCTACATATTTTAAAATAACAATATATTTCATACCATGAACCAATGAGAAGCGTATTAAGTACACTGATATTATTTCAGAAAGTTTTTAAGAAACAATAAAAAGAGTGTGTCACTCTATTCTTGATCTTTATTTTGCAGAATCTTTGACAGCAGCTGTATATCCTCTCAGATTCCTCTCCTCACCACCATCAGGTAGGCTTTCATCTGCCAAATTTATGTAGACCCTGGAATACTATAAGCTATTTGTTGGAGTGCATACATTAGACATCTGATTGTCAAAGAAATGTAATAGGCCTCATTTTTGTACTACATTGTATAAGTGTCCCAGTTTGCTAGTTCCTATCCAGCAGGGTTCTTGCTTCCAGGTTCCCTGTGTCTATAAAGAGGTTCAATCTCTTTTAGTCAGTAGCTATTCTCTGCAGGTGAGAGGTTATTTTGGTTAAGATGAATGACTTTATTCTGACCAGAATTATTCATGTTACCTTACTAAAGAAGACTGTAACTACTCACTTGCTGATGAGGCTATGCTCTTTTTATTTGTGCCTGTTTATTCTGGATTTAGAAGGCTTTCCCACCTTCCCACTTCATTTCTTTGATTATCCTCTTTCATCAACTACTTTGAATTTGTGTGTGTGTATTTTTTTTTTTTTTTTTTGAAACAGAGTCTCACTTTTTTGCCTGGGCTAGAGTGAGTGCCGTGGCGTTAGCCTAGCTCACAGCAACCTCAAACTCCTCGGCTCAAGCGATCCTCCTGCCTCAGCCTCCCAAGTAGCTGGGACTACAGGCATGCGCCACCATGCCCGGTTAATTTCTCTATATATTTTTAGTTGTCCAATTAATTTCTTTCTATTTTTAGTAGAGACGGGGTCTCGCTCTTGCTCAGGCTGGTTTCGAACTCCTGAGCTCAAACAATCCACCCGCCTCGGCCTCCCAGAGAGCTAGGATTACAGGCGTGAGCCACCACGCCCGGCCTTATGTGTGTGTATTTTACATCAAACTTTACTCAATGTCTTCTCCCTAGATATCCCACTTTGTCAGTATTTATGAAGTTGGGGCAGGGTGCGTGATATATATTGATTGTTGCTTCATGAGTTTTATAGTCTGTAGAGGCTATATTTGAATATGTTCATTTCCTTTTTCAGAAGTTTTTTCCTCTACATTTCCTTTTTTAAACATTATTTGTTCCAGTTTATCAGTTTCTTTTTTTTGGGTCTACAATTTTACTTGTTTTTTTAATTGACAAAAATTATATATGTTTATCATGTATAGCATATTGTTTTGAAATATATATACATTGTGGAAGGGCTAAATTGAGGTAAGTAACATGCATTGTCTCACATACTCATCATTTTTTGTGGTGAGAACACTTAAAATCTACTCTCTTATCGATTCTTATCTTCAAGAATACAATACATTGTTATCAACTATAGTCCCCATGATGTACAATAGATCTTTTGAACTTATTTCTCCTATCTTGCTGAAATTTGTATTCTTTGACCAACATCTCCCCAACCTTCCCTCTCACTGCCTGCCAGCTCCTGTTAACCACCCTTCTACTCTCTCTATGAGTTCTATTTTTTTAGATTCCACATATAAGTGAGATCATGTGGTATTTGTCTTTCTATGCTTGCTTTATTTTATTTAATGTAATGTCATCCAGGTTTCATCCGTGTTATCACAAATGAAAGGATCTCATTCTTCTTTAAAGTTGAATAGTATTCCATTGTGTGTATATACTACATTTTCTTTATCCATTCACCTGTTGATGGACAGTTAGGTTCATTCCACATCTAGGCTATTGTGAATAGTGCTGCAATGAACATGGGAACACGTATATCTTATTGACATACTGATTTCATTTCCTTTGGATGTATAACCAGAGTTGGGATTGCTGGATCAACTGGTAGTTCTATTTTTAATTTTTTGAGGAATTGCAATACTGTTTTCCATTATGGCTGCACCAATTTACATTCTTGCCAAGAGTGTACGAGGGTTCCCTTTTCTCCACATCTTGACCAATACTTGCTATCTTTTATCTTTTTGATAATAGCTATTCTGACAGGTGTGAGGTGGTATCTCATTGTGGTTTTAATTTGCATTTCTCTGATAATTAGTGATGTTCAACATTTTTTCATATAATTGTTGGCCATTTGTATGTCTTCTTTTGAGAAGGGGCTATTCAGTTCCTTTGCCCATTTTTTTATTGGGTTATTTGTTTTCTCACTATTGTTTGAGATCCTTATATATTTTGACTGTTAACCTCTTATCAGATGTATGGTTTGTAAATATCTTCTCCCATTCTGTAGGTTGTCTCTTCACTCTGTTGATTTTATCTTTGTGCAGAAGCTTTTTAGTTTGATGTAATCTCGTTTGTCTATTTTTGCTTTTGTTACTTGTCCGTTTGGGTTCCTATTTAAAAAATCATTGCCTAGACCAGTGTCTTGGAGCTTTTTCCCTATGTTTTCTTCTAGTACTTTTACACTTTCAGTCTTACAGTTAAGTCTCTAATCTATTTTGAATTGATTTTTGTATGTGGTGTGAGACAGGGTCCAATTTTATTCTTCTGCATGAGGATATTAAGTTTTCCCAACACCATTTATTGAAGAGACTGTACTTTCCCCATTGCATGTTCTTGGCACCTTTGTCAAAAATCAATTGACCCTAAATGCATGGATTTATCTTTGGGCTCTCTATTCTGTTCCGTTGGTCTGTGTGTCTGTTTTTATGCCATTATCATGCTATTTTGGTTACTGTGGCTTTGAAGTCAGGTAGTGTGATGCCTCCAGCTTTGTCCTTTTTGCTCAAGATTGCTTTGGCTATTTGGGGTCTTTTGTGGTTACATACAGTTTTAGCAGTGTTTTTTCTATTTCTGTGAAAAATATCATTGGAATTTTGATAGAGATTGCATTGAATCTGTAGATCACTTTGGGTAGTATGGACATTTTAACAACATTAATTCTTCCAATCGATGAACATGGGATATATTTGCATTACCTTGTGTCTTCTTCAATTCTTTCATCAATGTTTTACAGTTTTCAATGTATAGATCTTTCACCTCCTTGGTTAAATTTATTCCTAAGTATTTTATTTTTTTGTAGCTATTGTAAATGGGATTGTTTTCTTGATTTCCTTTTTGGATAGTTGTTAGTGTATAGAAATGCTGCTGATTTTTGTAAGTTGATTTTATAAATGCTGTAAGTTTACTGAATTTGTTTATTCTAACAAATTTTTGGTGGAGTCTTTAGGATTTTCTATATATAAGATCGTGTTGTCTGCAAATGGACATATTAATTTCTTTCCAATTTGAATGCTTCTTATTTCTTCCTCTTGTCTAATTGCTCTGTGGCTAGGACTTATAGTACTATGTTGAAGAGAAGTGGCAAGAGTGGGCATCCTTGTCTTATTTCTTTTTATTTTTTAACATACCATTGTTGGCTTGAATCCTTGTCTTGTTTCTGATCTTAGAGGAAAATCTGTTAACTTTTCACCGAGTATGATGTTAACTGCATGCTTTTCATATATGGCCTTTATTACGTTTAGATAGTTTCCTTCTATTCCTAATTTGTCGAGAGGGCTTTTTTTTTTTTTATCATGAAAGGATGTTGAATTTTGTCAAGTGCTTTTTCTGCATCTGTTGAGATGATCATATGGTTTTTGTCCTTCATTCTGTTAATGTGGCATATCACATTTATAGATTTGCAAATATTGAACCATCCTTGCATCCCTGGGATAAATCTCACTTGATCATAGTGAATGATCCTTTTAATGTGTGTTGAATTTGGTTTACTTGTATTTTGTTGAGGATTTTAGCAACTGTGTGCATCAGGGATATTGGCCTGGGATTTTTTTTTTTTCTTGTAATGTTTTTGTCTGGCTTTGGGTTGAGGGTAATACTAGCTAGTTTATCAGTTTCTAATGCGCATTTTAAAACAAATTATTCTTGGGACAGTAAGAAGGTATTAAGGTGTGGAGACTAAAGGGGCAGTACTTTCTTTTTACTTTTCAGAGCTATAGGCCCCATGTTTTATTTTTTAATAAAATAATTAAATTTTATTTAAAATTTACCATCTTACCCATTTTAAGAGTATGGTTCAGTAGTGATAAGTATTCACACTGTTATGCAACAAATCTCTAGAACTTTTTCATCTTGCCAAACTGAAACTCTATGCCCATAAACACTAATTTCTCCTCTCCCCTTCTCTCAGCCCTTGGCAACAACCTTTCTACTACAGATTGTGTCCCTTATCCAAAATGCTTGAGACCAGAGTGTTTTGGATTTTGGATTTTTTCAGATTTTGGAATATTTGCATTATGCTTACTGGTTGAACATCACTAACCCCAAAATCTAAAATGCTCCAATGAGCATTTCCTTTCAGCATCATATTGCTCAAAAAGTTTCAGATTTTGGAGCATTTCAGATTTTGGATTTTTTGATTAGGGATATTTAACCTGTACCTGTTTCTATGACTTTTGACTACTTTATTTATTTTTTTAGAGACAGAGTCTTGCTCTGTAACACAGGCTGGAACACAGTGGTCTAATCATAGCTCACTGCAGCCTGGAACTCCTGAACTCAAGTGATCCTCCCACTTTTAAGTAGCTGGGACTACAAGCCTATGCCTCCATGCCTGGCTAATTTTTTTAGTTTTTGTAGCGATGGGGTCTCCCTGTGTTTCCCAGGCTGGTCTTGAACTCCTGGCCTCAAGCAATCCTCCCACCTCGGCCTCCCAAAGTGCTGGGATTATAGGTATGACCCACTGTGCCCAACTGATTTTGACTACTTTAGACATCTCATATGAGTAGAATCATACAATTTGTCCTTTTTATGACTAGCTTATTGTACTTAGCATAACATCTTCAGCATTCATCCAGGTCATAGCATGTGGCAGGATCTCCTTTTAAAGGCTACATAATATTTCATTGCATGTATATATACCAAATTTTCTTTATCCATTTAAATGTCAATGGACATTTGGATTATTTTTACCTCTCGACTATTGTGAATAATGCTTCAAGTTAACATCGATGTGTAAATATCTCCTGAAGATCCTGCTTTGAATTTTTCTGGATATGTATCTAGAGAGGGGATTGTTGGATCATGTGGCAATTCTATTTTTAGTGTTTTGAGGAACCCATATCCTGTTTATGGTCAAATGATCTTTAATAATGGTGCCAAGACCACACAATGGGGA